ACCAGAATCCGGATCAGATCAGATTGATAGCGAATACCCAGATACTCTGGTATCGAACGGCTGCCAAATTCATGTCCGCTGCTGCTGACCAGACGCAAACACAGCAATACACCAAGATAGACCCCGACCGGATAAAGAAAGACGGACCAGATCACCGCCATGCCCGCGTTGTAACCGATGCCTGGAAAGCCTACAAAGGTGGCTCCACTGGCGGTGGTTGCGGCAAAAGCAAATGCAAGAAAGACCGGTCCATATGCATTTCGCGCCGTAGCAAAATCGTCTGCGTTGCCGACCTTGCGCTGTCCCAACAGCCCAAAACCCAGCATCATGGCAATATAAGCTGCCAGAAAAATCCAAGACCAAACTGTAAGATCCACGTGTACACCCTCACCCCTGAGTTACGACAGCTTACCAGTTTCTTTTTCAGTTGCTATTTTTGTTATGGGTACGAGCAGGCTTCAAAACAGCGGCATTTGTGCATTACCAGGCTGTAGTGGCGGGACAAACAGATCTGTTCGTAGTCGAGGCAATCCTGCATCCGCCAGTCCCTGTCGCTTAAGCGCCACATTAAAACGTTGCGCAATCAATTCGGCAAACGGTCCGGATCCCGTCATTCTCTGATACCACTGCGCCGAATAGGCTTTGCCACCGCGCGTGCTTCTGATGGTTTGCATCACCCGCTTCGCTTTCAGCGGGTAGTGATGAACCAGCCACTGTTCGAACAAAGGCGCCACTTCATGAGGCAAGCGGATCAGAATATATTGCACGGCACCGGCACCAGCTTCTGCGCAGCGCTGTACCATGGCCTCGAGCTCATGATCGTTCAGGAATGGGATAACCGGCGCAATCATGGCACCTGTTGGCACCCTGGCGTCAGCTAAAGCTGATATTGCACGCAGGCGCGCAGTCGGGCTTGCGGTACGGGGTTCCAGCTTGGTTTTCAGCTGATTATCCAGCGTGGTAACACTTAAATGCACGTGCACCAGCTGCTGATCAGCAAGCGCCTGCAATATATCCAGATCACGCAGTATCAACGCACTTTTTGTCACGATGGTGACCGGATGTTGGTACTCAAGCAACAATTCCAGAATCTGCCGCATGATCGTCCGCTCCCGCTCAAGGGGTTGATACGGATCTGTATTGGTGCCCATCGCTAAGGGACGACAGACATATCTGGCATGCCCCAACTCTTCAAGCAAACGTTCACGTACACCGGTTTTGTAAAAAAGCTTTGTTTCAAAATCGAGCCCGGGGGATAGGTCCAGATAGGCATGTGTGGGCCGTGCGTAACAGTAGATACAGCCATGTTCACAACCTTTGTAGGGGTTTATGGACTGCTCGAAACCAATATCCGGCGAGTTATTCTGAGTGATCAGGCGTACGGTACGGTCAGGCAGAACCTCGGTTGCCAATCGCGTCGGCACTTCCTGCGCGTACCAGCCGTCAGCTGTTGCCACCGTTTGCAGAGGCAGAAACCGGCTGTCGACATTACCCACGGCGCCCCTGCCTTTTATTGGTGCATCGGGTATTGGTACATCGGGTACTGGTGCATCTGGCAGTAACTCTTGGCATGAATCCGTTAATGGATCTGCCGACGAAGAGGGTAACAGAGGTGATGGCACTGCTTTTTCACATGAATTTTACGGAAAACCTTTATAACTGTATATTTATACAGTATCAAGCTTTGCAAGCCGTTAGTAGACTTAACGCTCTGGGAGTCACACTAATGAAAATGTCCATGCGCCTAAGTTGCGTTGCCTTGCTTGTCCTGTTTTCCGGCTGTGCCCAAGTCGCTCAGCAGACAACAGTAGACCAGCTGCGCCTGGAACTTGCCCAGATTCAGAACAGCCTGGATGATGCCGGCACTCAAGCGACCGCCCTGTTTGCCGAACAGTCTCTGAATACCGAAGACCTCAGCACTCAACTGGCAAGCCTGAATGAAACCGTTTCCCGGCTGGATGACACAGTCAGCACCTCGTGCCCTGAAAAAGCTGAGCGTGTTGTTGTTCAACGCTGCGATCCGGTAAACACCACATCCGTGGTAGTCGCCACCGAAGGTAAGATGGTGCTGGGTGAACTGGAACGTGTATGGGTTGATCCACCCGGACTGCAGATGATCGCACGTATTGACACCGGCGCCAGTTCCAGCTCTCTACACGCCGACAACATTACCCCATTCGAACGCGACGGCGATGACTGGGTGCGCTTCAACATCAACAATTCAGATAAAGAAAGCGTCACTATTGAACAACCGGTGACAAAATACGTACGCGTTTTTCAACAGGCGGATAAAAGCGGTTCACGACGACCCGTGGTTGAACTGAGGTTGGTGCTTGGCGATGTTCGCGACACATTCAGCTTCACCCTCGCTGATCGCAGCCACTTGGAACAGGACATGATTCTGGGTCGTAACTTCCTCACAGATATGGCGTTAGTTGATGTCAGCAAGCAGTACGTACAACCCCCGTTCAAGCCTGTTGCTGTAACGGCGCAGCAATAAACCATGAACAGAATAGGTCCGTTTCTAACGCTCGTCGTTGCATTGATCGTGATAGGTCTGAGCGCTGCGCAATTTCGCCACACCACTTACAACATTCCATGGCTGCCTGGCAGTGAAACTGAAATCTGGCAGGTTGAAGCCCGAATTGAATTTGACGCCCGAGGCGGCGCTGCGCAGGTTTACCTGACGCTGCCCCCTGACCAGCAGGGGTTTGCAATGGTCAGCGAAGCCACGGCTTCCTCTGGCTGGGGGTTTGCCATTGAAGGTGACCAGATCCAGCGCCGGGCACACTGGACGCAACGCGCCCCACAAGGTCGCCAGGTGCTTTTTTACAAACTTGATCTTGCGGTCAGTGACGCAGACACCTGGGAGTTGCCTCCGCCTGAGCCCAGCGGCACGATCATCTGGGATGAACCCTATCAGACGGCAGTGAGCCACGTACTCGATACCATTCTGCCGATCACCGCCGACCCGCACACCATGGCGTTGCAGCTGATCAAAACCATCACCCGTCAGCCACCAGATCAGAATGTATCTCTGCTGACCTCTGCTTATGCCGGCGCCGACCTCCTGCAACGGGTACTGCAGACCGCAGGCATTAATGCACGTGCGGTACAGGTGCTGGAACTTGAAGACGGCAGGCGCCGTCAATCGCTGGCTGACTATCTACAGGTATGGGACGGACAACAGTGGCGTCTGTACGACCCAGCTGTTGGCGAAGTGACTAAATCAACAGAATTACTTTTGTGGCAAACCGGCACACCAGGCGTACTGGAGGTGCTCGGTGGCACTAACAGCCGGGTGTCGTTTTCGATGATCAGTCAGTCTCGCTCATCGCTGCTGCTGGCGCAGGAGCAGGCCGACGATCTGGCTTTGTCGCTGTACAACCTGCCGATCGCCGAACAGAGTATGTTCAAACTGATCATGCTGCTACCCGTTGGCGCATTTGTCGTGGTACTGCTGCGTGTTCTGATTGGTATACGCACATCCGGGACGTTCATGCCGGTATTAATCGCGCTGGCTTTTCTGCAGACAGAACTGATCCCCGGGCTTACCAGCTTCATTATTGTTGTGGGTATCGGCCTGTCTATCCGATCCTATCTTTCCACGCTGAATTTATTACTGGTGGCACGCATAGCCACGCTGGTGGTGCTGGTCATCGCTATCATTTCACTCTTCAGTATCGTCAGCTACCGACTCGGCTTGATTCAGGGTCTGACCATAACGTTTTTCCCGATGATCATCCTTGCCTGGACCATCGAACGCATGTCTATCACCTGGGAGGAAGAAGGCCCTAAAGAAGTGCTTCTACAGGGCGGTGGCAGTCTGTTCGTGGCTGTATTGGCTTTCCTGTTAATGGATATGGCGGTGATCGAACACCTGGCTTTCAACTTTCCGGAGCTGCACCTTGTGCTGCTGGGTTTCATTCTGCTGGCCGGACGCTATACAGGTTATCGCCTGCTGGAACTCAAACGCTTCAGCGCGTTTAATTCATGAGCAGCTGGATCAGTCCATTTGAACTCAAGCGTCGCGGCATCCTCGGTATGAACCGACGTAACATTTCATATATCAGCCGCTACAATAATCGAAGGCAATTCCCCCTCGTCGACAACAAACTGAAAACCAAGCTGGTTGCAGAGGAAGCTGGGCTCGCGGTTCCAAAACTGATTGATATCGTTGCCACTCAGCATGAAGTTGAAAGCGTCGAACGAAACTTGAAAGGCCTGGATTCATTTGTCGTCAAACCCGCCCAGGGCAGTGGCGGCAAAGGCATTCTGGTGGTGGTTGGTCAGGAAGATGGCCAATACCGGAAAGCCAGCGGCGACCTTATTTCTCTGGCCGCCGTCAAACGTCACCTGACCAACACACTTAGTGGCCTGCATTCGCTGGGCGGAAGAAACGATGTAGCGATTCTGGAAACCCTCGTGCGCGTGGACCCGGTCTTCTCTTCGTTCAGTCATGAGGGTGTGCCGGACATTCGTCTGATTGTTTTTCAGGGCATACCCGTGATGGGCATGTTGCGCCTGGCTACACGCGCATCAGATGGCAAAGCCAATTTGCACCAGGGTGCCATCGGCGTTGGTCTTGATATTGCGACGGGCCGAGGCATCCAAGCTGTACTGCATAACAAACTCGTTACTCATCACCCGGACACCGGCGCCGACCTCTCTACATTGACCGTGCCCAATTGGCCTGCGCTGTTAAGGCTTGCAGCTGAATGTTATGAAGTGACCGAGCTAGGCTATCTGGGCTGTGACATTGTCATCGATCGCGATCGGGGGCCGTTGATACTTGAGCTGAACGCCCGGCCGGGCTTATCGATTCAACTGGCTAACAACAGTGGTTTACTGCCCCGACTGCAGCACGTGGAGGCCACCAATACCAAAAAAATGCGCATCGCAGATCGACTGCAGTTCGCCATCGAAAACTTCAAACACGACGATACCTGGGAAACCCTACCCGCCTTCTAGCTGATCAGGCTGCCAGCTTCCCCTGCCGGTCAACTTGTTAACCAGTCAAGAATGCGTGGATTTTCTTCCACCGGATAGGTGTGCGAGAGGTCATCAATTTCCCGATATTCAACCGCCGCACCAGCACCGGACAATGCCTGCCGGGCAGTGCGCGCAACTTCTATCGGAAACATCCAGTCCAGTGCGCCATGCATCAGGTAAATCGGTAACCCCTGCAGGCGCTGGGCATCCGCCACTTCTACCAGCATCGGGTGGAACGAGGCAGAACTCGGCGCCAGATGGGTGAACGGCGACGTACTCTGCAGGCCGCTGACATAGCTGAATGTGCCACCATCAGACATACCACTTAACAGCACCTTACCGGTGTCAATTGCCCAGTGCGCCTGCACATAGGCCAACATGGCCTGCAGATTTTCTGTATCTATGTCCGGCCCCATCAACGACCAGGTACCCTCTTTCGAGGTTGGGCTGACGATAATCACATTCCTGCTGCGCGCCGCCTTGATCCAGGACCATAAAAAACTGCGGCCATGACCGCTGCCACCATGTAGCGCAAACACAACGGGCACAGTCTCCCCGGCGTAATACTCCGGAACATAAAGGGAGAATCCACCACGCTCGTCAGCCGCATTAGATATATGCATCACACCGACATTGGGTTGCTGCGGGTCTACCTGAGCCAGACGCGCCAGCAGATCTTCATCGTCCCGGCACTCCGGCAGCAGGAAGTAACGACTCACGGGTGGCAGCATGGCGCTTAAGGGATAGATGGATTCTGTGGCACGGGTGTTGAATCCGACGGCGCGATACGCGGCCATGGCTGCATTGCTCTGATTCTGTGCGCTCAGAAATTCGTCAAAACCACGCATCAGAAGCTCACCGCTGTTGGTCGCCTGCTGGACAAAACCCGCAAGATGCTCGGGCCAGGCCGCGGCAATGAATTGTGCCAGCCCTTGTTTTACCGGCTCCCGATAAGGCAGTATTTCCTGTGCGAGTTGGGCAATGTTCGGCGGGTGCAGGTGTCTGGCCGCATGCCCCATAACCTCTATACCCGTGAGCAATGGCGGAATCAGAGCGGTGGTTGCTTCGAGCAGTTCGTCTGTATTGTCCATCAGGTCACTATAACCAGAATCTTGTATAGTGTGGGCCAGCAATTTCACCACCCTCCCTCTTACCCATCAAGAGGTTCGCCAGCCAAGAGAGACGCGTAATGGAGCAAGAGCAAAACAGCTATGACCGCAGCCAGGAAGACGTCGGCAACGTTCAGCTGCTCGAGCACGTCAACTTAACGGTTCCCGATCAGTCGCTAGCCGGTATGTTTTATGTCACGGCTCTGGGGTTCACCCGCGATCCGTATATCGACTTTGGCACCCTCAACATGTGGATTAATCTGGGTGACCAGCAATTTCACCTGCCCACCAGTAAAGCCCAGGTCTTACGTGGCCATATTGGCGTTGTGGTCCCGGATCTCGACGAGTTGGGCAAGCGCCTGAAGTTTGCCGCCCGAGGCCTGAATAACACCGCTTTCAAAAGCATTGAGGGTGACAACTGTCTTGAACTCACCTGTCCTTTCGGCAACACCATCAAAGCCTATGCACCAGCCAGTTTTCCGCGCATGGACCTGGGGATGCCTTATGTCCAGTTTGATGTCCCACCTGGCACCAGTGCAGGCATTGCAAAATTTTATAACCAGGTGCTGGGTTGCCCCAGTCAGCATGACAACGACACCACGCGGGTGGCCATGGGACACAATCAGAGCCTGATTTTCAAAGAAACCGATGCACCGCTTGCGGCTTATGACGGTCACCACATTGCCATCTACGTGGCCGATTTTTCGGGACCACATGTGTGGCTGTCACAACGTGGCCTGATCAGCGAAGAGTCGGACCAGTTTCAGTATCGTTTTATCGATATTGTCGACCCTGACAGCGGCGAGGTGCTCTATCAGGTTGAACATGAGGTACGCGCTCTCAGCCACGCGATGTATCGCCGACCGCTGGTGAACCGCAACCCCAGCACTAATTTTTTCACTTACCGGAAAGGCAACGAGCAGTTTTCACCTGCGCCCAGACAGAAGAGATAATATGACCCAAGCCGTAGATTTTTTCACCGCAGATACTGAACCCTACTACCTGCCGCTTGCAGATGAAGTAGAAATATTTCGCGCTGCTTACAGCGCCAGGCTGCCTATATTACTGAAAGGCCCTACAGGTTGCGGCAAAACGCGTTTTGTCGAACATATGACCTGGCGCCTGTATCGAGAAACTGCCAATCAGCTCGAAGTACCGTTGATCACGGTGTCGTGCCACGAAGATCTGACAGCAACAGATATGGTCGGTCGTTACCTGCTCAAAGGTGATGAAACCGTCTGGACGGACGGGCCGCTCACCCGTGCCGTGCGTACCGGCGCCATCTGTTACCTGGATGAAATAGTTGAGGCACGCAAGGACACTACTGTTCTGATCCATTCGCTAACCGATCACCGTCGCATTCTGCCCATCGACAAAACCGGAGAACTGGTCGCCGCACACCCGGAATTTTTACTCGTTATATCTTACAACCCTGGTTATCAGAGCGTTTTAAAAGATCTGAAACCCAGCACGCGGCAGCGTTTTGTCAGCCTTGAGTTTGACTATCCTGAGGTCGAGCTGGAAGCAAAAATCATCGCACACGAAGCTGGCATCGATGATGACATCGCCGGGCGCCTGGCGGTTATCGGCGAACGGGTACGCAATCTTAAACAGCATGGCTTTGAAGAGGGTGTGAGCACACGTCTGTTGATCTACACCGGGGATCTGATTTCTGCCGGCATTGATCCACGGCGCGCCGCTCAAGTGGCCATTGTCACCGCTATTTCAGACGACCGTACCGTCCAGCAGGCAGTGGCGGATATCGTTGATGTGATCCTGCCCTGATATGGTCAACCTCGCAGCCTGCGAAGACACTCTGGCACTTTTCACGGAAGGCATAGCCGGACGTTATCTGCACATCAAAGCCACCGCCGAATTTGCCAACAATCGGCAACTTGCTTATCACAGTGATCGCGCGGGCCAGGGTGCTGACGCTCTGTTTCTGCCGGAAGAGATTGATGCACCAGATCATCATTGTTATCGCGTACTGGTACTTGAGCAGATCGGGCTGCGCGAGTGCGGCACATTTTCATTTCGTATGGAGCGCGGCCTGGCTGACATCAGCGAACTGTCGGAGCGTTACGAAGTACCCAAAGGTGCAACCCCCCGCACCGGCGATTTTTTCCTGCTGTTCAGCGCCTTCGCACAACCGTCTCTGGCTACAGACCTGTTTAATCTGTTCGAAAAAGCGCGAGTACAGGCGCACCTGTTACGTACCTACCCGGGCATCAACCGACACATGCAGCGATACCACGAGCATTTGCTGGAAACCGCTGAACTGCACTACGATCCGCTCAGCTTTGGCCATCGCAGCCTTTGGGGAGACAACGAAATCCCACCGGAATGGCAATCACTAAGCACTGCTCTAAAGCGACTGCAGGGCCCAGAGCAAACCGTCTACGACAGCGTGCGCGCCTTGTGCCAACTGTATGATCAGGTCGCTGAGGCCTACGTTTTCGAAACCCTGAAGTCTTATCCCAGCCCCGAAGAATCAATTCCCGACTGGCTGAATCGAGAACAGCGCATTGACGAGTGGGACGAAAAGCTAGAAGAGCTGGATGATCAGGTCATGATGGCTGACATGATTCACGCGGAAGACCTGGAAGCAGAACGCGGCGAAACCAGCGAAGCAGCTATTCGCGATGCAGAGGTCGACATCAAGATGTTGATGGACGAACGCGACACCCTTAAGCGCCGCATCGACATGGAAAAATCTTCTGTACAGCATGCACTGGGCCCTGACCGTTCCGCAGCACGCAGCTACCGCTATGATGAGTGGGACTATCTGCAACGTCGTTATCTGACCCACTGGTGCCGCGTATACGAAGAATCCCTGTTAGGTACTGACGAAGAAGACATAGAAGGGCTGAACAACGCCATTCGCCATTTTCAGGGCATTGTGCAGAAACAACTGGAACAGATACGTCCAACGGGTTTACAACGCATCTCACGCGTTCAGGATGGTGACGAACTGGACCTGAATGCAATCATCGAAGCACGCCAGGATATTCGCGCCGGCCAGAGTCCCAGCGAGCGTTTCTACTCGCGCAAGGAGCGCATGCACCGCGATGTGTGCGCCATTTTCCTGGTTGATTTAAGCGCATCCACCGATGACCCGGTGGAACCACCCGAACCCAGAGACTGGTCGGACTACGACGAAGACGCATCCGACAACATGCGTGACCCATGGTATGCCGCGCTGACCAGCGACGAAGAAGAACCTGTGGTCGAGCGAAAAATTATCGATATTCAACGTGAAGCCATGGTGGTGATGGCCTCTGCGCTGGATGCTCTGGGTGACAGTTATGGCATCTATGGCTTTTCCGGCTACGGCAAAGACTGCGTAGAAGTATTTGTGGCTAAAGAACCCCAGGAAGGTTTTTCTCAGCGCACGCTGCAGTCTATTGCCGCGATGAAGCCAAAGCGTTCCACTCGCATGGGGCCTGCTATCAGACACAGTACACACAAGCTGATGCAATCCGGCCATGCGATGAAAGTGCTGATGGTAATCAGCGATGGTTTCCCCCAGGACAGCGACTACGGACCTGAGCGCGGCAATCATACCTACGGTGTAGAAGATACCGCCAAAGCCATCAAAGAAGCCCAGCAGAAAGGCGTGGAAACGTTCTGTATCACGGTGGATCGATCCGGACAGGATTATCTGAAACAGATGTGTCCCGACTCGCGCTATCTGGTGATAGAAGAGATGGAAGACTTACCCGATCAGCTAACGAAAGTGTATGCAGCACTCACAGGTCGCTAGTTCTGACTGAACATGAAACACCCTGGGTTGTGGTCTTTGCGGCAGACCGGGCCAAAGCAGTCAAAGAAGCCGCACTGGTCCTGAATGCTGTTGGCATCAAGAATACCATTGCTCGCCAGCACAGCGATTGGGTGATCTGGGTTGCGCCTGACGATCAAGCCGAAGCACACCGGCAACTGCAATCTTACTGGGAAGAGAATCAACCGAGGCCCGACCAGCCCGTGAGTGCCACCATTATTGATAGTGGATGGGCCGGCGTAGTGGGTTATCTGTTTGTCATCTGGCTGATTCCAGCTTTATCTGCTTACAGCGACCTGGACTTCCGCAGTCTCGGCCGGCTCGATGCCGGCGCGGTGATTGACGGACAATGGTGGCGTACCGCAACGTCACTGACCCTGCACGCAGACATCGCCCATATCGCGTCTAACTCACTGTTTGGCTGTGTTTTTGGCCTGTTTGTCGGACGCCACCTCGGCTCTGGACTGGGCTGGTTGCTGGTGTTGATCTGCGGCATAGCTGCGAACCTCTTGAATGCTTTTGTCCAACCCGATCAGTTTCTTGCCATAGGCGCCTCAACTGCGACGTTTGCTGCGCTGGGCATTGTTCCGGCGTTTGGCTGGCGCCGGGGCTTCTTCCGCGGCCGGGGATTCAAACGTGGATTCGCGCCGATATTCGGCGCTATCGCCTTACTTGCATTCACCGGCTTCGGCGCCGAGAACGTCGACGTGTTAGGTCACTTGTTTGGGTTTGCTGCAGGCATTGGCATGGGATTGGCGATAGCGCATATCAAACTCGACAACATCAGCCTGGCAGATCAGCAGCGTGCTGGCGTTGCCGCGTTCCTGATTCTTGGCACTACCTGGATATTAGCGTTGCGCTAGGAAACCTTGCATTCCCTCAACCACGAACAGCGAGTAAGCTATGAACCAACACGCTGACTCCACACGAGGTACCACCTAACTTGGCCAACAGCTCTTCCATTCGCATTCCCGTTGCCGACTTCTCGGCAATGAGCTCTAATCCAAATGACTCCGCAACAGCCGGAGACTTCCTCGAAATCTGGGACCACGCCTTTCGAGACTTCGGTTTTGTTTACCTGATCAACCACGGTCTGGAGGACAAATACCAGCGTCTTCACAAGGCACTCGAAACATTTTTTGATCTACCAGACAACGAAAAACTTAAGTTTCGAGTTGCTAGAGAATACGGACATGGTGGTTTTATCCCGCAAGGTCAGGAGAGCGTGTCACGGTCCTACCTCGACAAGGAACACGCCAGACCGCCGGATGCCGTCGAAAGCCTGGCGACGTCTAATTCAGACTTTGCCACATTCCCGTGTAAAGCAAACGGCTACCACACGGATGAGTTATCTGAGCTCTCAATGGAATTGAAAGACGGACTGGATGATCTGGCCATCAGGGTCATGGAGATCATGGCTATGTGTCTTGATTTACCACCGGCGTACTTTCTGAATTATTACCAGCATGGGAAGGCTAATAATGATCTGCGTGTCGCCAGATACCTGCCGGTTACAGAGAGCCAGACCGGCAAACAAATGCGCTACGGCGAGCATACCGATTACACGGGTTTCACCTTCCTGTGGCGAAGTGCAGATAATGGTCTGCAATGCCTGCATCCGGATTCTAAAGGCAGCAAATGGATAGATATTCCCAACAAAACTGAACATAAAGACGCACTCATCGTGAATGCGGGGGATCTGATTCAGCGCTGGACCAACGATTACTGGATCAGCAACGTCCACCGGGTGTTAGGTAGTGAAAACGCTGATGATGACAAAAACAAACACGACCCAATGTCGATCGTCTACTTTACCGGCCCGCACGAGGATACAAAGATCCGTGTCTTAACAGGCTCAGAAAAAGTCCGGCAGCAAGGACCTGTCAAAAAGCAATACGAAGAAGAGATCACGGCTGGGGAACATTTGCGGCGCAAGATCGATGCTTCGAACGAGTGAAGTCGTGAACCAGATCAAGATTGTGCTTATCTGTGTGCTTGCGTCCTTCATCATGTCGGGATTTCTCAACCCCATAGGATTAATCAGCGGCCCTGTCGCAGAGGCGTTTGATATCCCGCTGACCGTCGCCGTCTCCCGCTTCGGCTACTTCACCTTTGGCGTTTTTGCCGGTTACATTCTGTCATTCCATATTTTTGACTATATGCGACTGAAAACCGTTGTCGTCACCGGGTACCTGCTGGTCGCACTTTCAGTGGGCGGGCTCTATTCTTTTCCATCCACAACAGGCCTGGCTTTCTTTCTCTTCAGTATTGGCCTGTTTATGAGCGTGCAGGCTTGCGGGGCAAGCACTCTGGTCAGCTGGATATGGAGCGGCAAACAGCGTCAGACCTTTCTGATTGCGCAGGATGCCATGTTCAATGGGGGTGGCATTGCCTTCACCGCGATGACTACCTGGCTGCTTACAGCGCAATATCACTGGGCATCGATCTACTTGCTTGTCGCTTTGCTCACACTGCTGCTCTCAGGGATTGCTGCAACAACAAAAATTCAAGAGCCGACGGATACCAAAGAAACAAGCGATATCCAAACCGAGTGGAATATCGGCATCCTGGCAGTCGGCGTCAGCATTCTCCTTTTCATGACAGCCAAGATTTCGATTTTTATCTGGGCGCCACAATTTGTTGAGCAAACATTTAATGCAACCGTCGAGCAGTCAGGTCGCTTACTGACAAATATATTCATAGGTGCATTCTGTGGGTCTCTGATCGGGACTTATGTCGTCTCCCGCATAAAAATTGAATATTTTCTGATTGCCATGTTGACCTTCGGGGGTGCCGGCTTATCGATCGCCCTGACCGTCACGGAACTGGATTCAGTGCTTATCGCCGGATACCTCGTAGGTGGATCAATAGGCGCAACATTCAACGCCTATACGGCGTTCGGCTTAAATTGCGTGCGCATACCAACCCACAAGAATGTCGCCTATATCCTCTTAGCCGGAGGCATTGGATCAGCAATCGCACCCTGGTTCAGCAGCCAGATAGTCAACACAAGTGGTGATGTTCGGGACGCGCTGATGGCGTGTCTGGCGATTCAGGGTATCGTTCTGTTCAGCGTCATCCTACTGGCTGTCTATATCCGTCGGGTGAATCAAATATCAACAGACTTGATGAAAATGCCAGGTCAATGAATCCTGAGACACCCACGGTCTGCCGCTAATCAACAACTTCCTTCACTGCCTGCATGATCAGCGGTCCTGCGGTAGCACCAACAGACACCGAGGTCAGATATTCTGCATGCGGGTAGGCTGCGTCGTCGGCGAAATATTCAGGCTTCAGAATATAGCCCATGGCATCCTGAGAAAGGCCCAGAACAAAACTGTGGCGCGTGTCCATCAGTTCACGTGATGCCAGCGAATAGGCCGGTGAGGTTTCGCCCGGGTGAGTAACAAACTCAGCCTCACCAATTTTGAACCAGGCCACGCTTGTACGCATTGCCCCATCATAGGTTTGCCGGTCTAAAACGCCCAACCACATGAGCAGGCGAAAACCCCAGTTGTGTAACGGCACATCAACCTGCTGCTGCCGAAACACAAGCGGTGCATAAGCGTTATTCTGCGCATCAGCCAGCAGATCAATGACCGCTGCCGCTAAAGATTCACCGTGAGCGAGGGCGAGTTCGTGAGAGCGATCACCCTGCAACGGTTGTACCCACCCACCGATTGCGCCCTGTAGAAAAAGATGTTCGCCGCCTAATTCATTTGTCAGTTTTTGATAAAACCCAGCCACATAATCTGCAGATACCTCAGTGTTTTCCGGCCCCAGCACTGTGGGATGACAGGCATAGTTCACCAGTGTCAGCAGGCTGGCGCCTTTGCGATCAACAAACTGCATAACCGCCAGGCGACGATCCAGCAGCTCAGGTTCACTGACATTTTCAACCCAGGCCAACGGCAGCTCAGCACTTGCAAGCCTGCTTGTTGCAGGTTGCAGCTGCGTAGCTGTACGTGCCACTAACGCAACGGCTGTCTCTACCAGCTGCGCGATATATTCCTCATCACGACCGCTGCGCCAGAAGGCGGGACCCCAGATGCCAACTACATCAGGGCCAGCATGGGTGTGAGTAGACGACACCACCACCTTTGCCTCAGGGATTTTCTGCGCAATGCCGTTTTCAATGGCCAGAATGTCTGGGCGCGTTAAACCAATACAATCGATTGTCAGCAGAGCCAACAGATCCGAGCCCGTTTTAACAAGCGCAGCCTTTATGTGGATTGCATCCGCGGCACCAGTGGATTTTCGATCCGGCCCGTAACCGGCGAGATAAGTACCCTCGGCGGGCGTGATATCGACCGAACCTGCGGCTACTCGATAAGTTTGCGCAAAACAAGTGAACGCAAACAACTGCATACTTAGCAGCAGAATAACAATGACAACCCTCACAAAACCCCCTCAGCGTTCTCCAACTACCCGAATCAGTTTAGCGCATTGCAACAGCAGATTAATTGTTTTATACAAGGTATACGCGTGCAACAGGATCAAACAATGGCAGCTTCCAAACCCACCTGGCTCTCCGGCCGTCTGGTACTCGTCATCTGGTTATTGACCCTGTTAGCTGGGTTTATTGGCCTGGGTGGCTACATACAAGAACGTGTCGAAGGTATAGATCCTGCGCAAATACCGCTTATCCCTACCCTGATCTTTGCATTTCTGCTGCTCGATGCCATTGTGGTGACAATCTGGTGGGCTGCAACGTTAACCAGGCCTGGCTCTTCTGCGGCTGAACAAGCAGACACTGAACCCGCAACTGGCAGGCGTAAATTTCTGACAGGCAGCGCCGCCATCACCGGCGGTGTTTTAGGTGTAGCAGGAGCAACCGCCGCTAGAGTATCCGGTTGGGGAACAGTCACCGGGCCAGCCATCGGTGCTCAAACTGAGCAGACTTCACCCGTGGCAAAACAGGCCTGGAGTGGCGCACAAATTCAAGCCTATCGACCGCTGGGTAATACCGGTCTGATGGTCTCCGATATTTCCGCTGGTTCTACCCGGCTGCACCAGAACCCTGACCCGGTCGGATTCTTAAACGCGATGCTGGATCGCGGCGTCAACTATATTGATGCATCTCCAGATTATGCGCCTGAGAGTGAAGACATTATCAAACAGGCAATCGCAGGGCGTGACCGCAGCAAACTGGTCATTGCAACAAAGTTCTGTACCTCCAGCGGACATCTACGGCAACGCAGCAGTGTTCAGACATATATGCAGACAATGGAATCTGCACTGCAGCGTCTGGGTACGGACTATATCGACGTGGCGCACATCCACTCCTGCGACAGTGTAGAGCGATTGATGGACGACAATGTACATGAAGCCGTCGACCGGTTACGCGAACAGGGCAAAGTCAGGTTCATGGGCGTATCTACCCATACCCCTAACCTGGAAGAAGTGGCCAATACCGCCATCGACAGTGGTCGCTTTCAGGTCATGATGCTCGCCTACCACCATGGTGCATGGCCAACGCAACAGCAGATTATCCGCCGCGCAGCTGAACAGGGTATCGGCATTGTTGCCATGAAGACTCTGAAGGGCGCCAAACACAATGGGTTAGCAGACTTCGCTGTAGAGAAAGACAGCTATACGCAGGCGGCTTTCAAATGGGTACTGAGCAACCCCGACGTTTCAAACCTGGTGATCTCATTTCACAACAATCAGCATCTGGATGAATATCTCTATGCGTCTGGTCAGGTACTGCAGAGTAACGACATAGCGGTGCTGGAGAAATACGACAATCTGATAGCCGGTACCCACTGCTTCCAGCACTGCGGCGCCTGTCTGGATACCTGTCCAGCTAATGTACCCATTCATGATGTCCTGCGGCATCGCATGTATTTCGAAGATTACGGCGATCAGAAACAAGCCATGGGCCTGTACGCCAGGCTCGAACAGAATGCGTCAGCGTGTTTATCCTGCGATGCACCCTGCGCAGGCGGTTGTCCCGCCAACATCCCGATTAGAGAACGCATGCTCGGCGCGCACCAGATGCTGACGTGACATCACGGGTTTTACCTAAACGACAAAAGCCTTTTAGCGGAAATCACGTATAGGGTGGCAGGGGGTTAAAAGCCCAGAATCAAGGTCAGGTTGTTGAACTCAACCTGACCCACTGATAACGCTAAAGGTACAATTATGAATTTTGAAGATCCGAAAACCACCCTGACCACCGCTGTTGTTGCCGTTGCTGTTGGCCTGGCGATTATCGCCGTAGGCGTGAGCGCTCTACATGGTATTCTGGGGTAAATTAGTTCCACCGGAGTCGGCCTATGACAAACCACGTACTGTGTGCAATAGAACCCAATGACGAAGCCAGAGACGTCACCAGAATTGCGGCGCACATTGCCCAAGAACGGGGTGCACAACTCACCCTCATGCACGTGGTTCCGCCCATGTGGCAGCCTTACGCCGACTTGAACTTCACGCCTATAGTAGAAGCCCAGGTCGCGCTGGAAGAAGATCTGCTTGCCAGCACAAAGGACAGCATGCACAAACTGGCAGCAGCGGTTGATGTAAAACCGGCCAACGTCATTGTGCAGAAGGGCGATCCGGTACACGCCATTGCTGAGCAAGCTGCCAACCTGGACGATGTGCTGATCGTTATGGGTGTGCACAATCGTGCTGGCCTGAAGCGACTGTTGGGTTCTACCGCCCACGGCGTGCTCAACAATACCCAGTGCCCTATCCTGTTAGTACACGCGGACGACCACGCTGCAGCAGCCTACAACAACATTGTGGTTGCCGTTGACACATCAGCATCGCTGCCAACGGTTCTGAGTGCGGCCAGCCCATTTGTGCAGTCTGCTAAAAAGCACCAGGTTATCAGTGTTGTACAGTCTCTAGCGGCCACCATGGGTGGACTGCAGACTTCAGCATTTGCAACCAGTTGGCCGATGACCGACATGCAGGAAGACCTTGTTAAGGCGGTTAAAAAGACGGTTGGTGAAGAATTACAGAAAGCGGGCTTGAGTGATTCTGAGTTTCTGGTTGTTGAAGGCGACCCCGCTCACGAAATCTGTGCGTGTGCAAAAGAAGCTGGCTCGGATCTCATTATTATGGGTTCCGGAAAGAGGAATATTATTGATCGCGTGCTGCTGGGTTCTACCGCTCATGGCGTTTTGAATCATACACCCTGTGATGTTCTGATTGCCCGATAGATGTGTTTAAACACATTTGGCTGAGCGAAGACTGGGTACTCTTAGCCCTGCTTTGCTTACTTGCCGTTTTCAGCGTAATGGCGGCGGCAGCGCAGCTATGGCTGCTATTCATTCTCTGTGCACCCTTCTTGGTGGCGACGTTGATCATTCTCAACAAATTATCAAATGCACGATGGTGCTCTACCTGCCAACAAGCTACGCAACTTGTTGCCAAAGAAGATAGGCCGGAGGAGAAGATTTACTATCAATGCAGTACTTGCGGTCAATCTATCAACTCGGGTGTCAACGCGAGCTGGTACGACTAGAACCATCCGCTGATCCACGTTTGAGACGCTTTGGCGGTTTGAAGCATCTTATTCATGACACACATGAAGAAGTAACCGGCCTATGAAAAAGATACCCCTCTACATTCCCATCATAGTCGCAGCGCTGATCTCTATTCCGACTACACTGCGCGCCGAACCTATGGTGTGCAACCCAAGCGACGCACCAGAGGCGCTGGCAGATTTCAGTTTCCTGATTGGTCACCATGAAGTCACTCTACAGGCCTGGGCCGGTGACACCTGGACACCACCCAGGCCAACCACCGCACACTGGCGCGGCTGGTATGGCCTAGACGGAAACGCCGTTTACGACGAATGGAACGATCAGGGGGCTGAGCCTGCGAACATCGGCATCAATGTACGATTTTATGACGACCAGGAAAAACTCTGGAAAATGATGTGGATCAGCAGCAGTGGACGCCAAGTCCAGGACCTGCGTGCAACTTTCATGGAAGATAAATTAACCATGTGGCAGGTGTACCCGCCACGCGAGGGCTGGAAAGCCGAATTCGAGATAATTGACCTGGGGCGTTGGTCAAGGACGTCTTATCTGCGTAATGATGCAGGCCTCTGGCAGCCTCAGTTCAAGTTGGTTGCAACGCGAACTCTGTGTGAGAATCAAGCACAATCGTTACGGCCTGGATAACCTCTGTGAAATTA